CTGGTAGCTGTTGTCAGGCTGTTATGGTGCCTGACAGAAGAGACTGTGCCCTCTGTCACAGACTTCTGGGACAAATATAGATCTGCAGCAGTTGTTCCTCTCTAACACATACCATAGGAGGCACATTGGTATTATTTTTGTCACACAGGCCGTGGAAATCCAGTTTGCGAGGGATTAATTATATGTAGTTAAATACGGAGCTGTACAGAATAGCCTTGCAGAGATACATTTAACTGTTGTTTCTAAGTCTTCATGTTAGAAGTGTAAAGCAATTCTCACATTTACAAATTTTGTTATGTCAAAGTGTTGATATTATGGCTTTATTATGTTACAAGTTCTCTGGAAAGCAGTGAGATTTCTACCAAGCATTCTTGTTGCCAAAATGGATTGTGTGTCTGTCAGGAAGTTATACAGTACATATGGTTATGGCAAACAGTAGGGTTGTTAAGCCAAGAGCTTCAACAAGTTGGCAAGACTTTATAGTTTTATAGCTGTAGAAAGTCAAAAGCTCTTTAAGTAATTTATCCAAGTGTTTTGGAATAGAATAGAGCTGACGTAAGGACTAAAGACAAATTGACATAAGAGATCTTAGATCAGAGAAATGCAGAGAATGCTTCAAATGAAGTACATTATATTGAGTTTGATATATTGAAAGGTGCTGCCATGGTCTTTTTGTTAGATCTCGGCTTGTAGGTTGCAGTTGAACCTTTGCACAGATATGCAAAAGACGTAGCCACAGAGATACTATCTGTGTCTTAAATCTTCTTTGTGTGGCCATGTGAAGGTTTACTTGGCACTCCTGCCGTTCCTCACTTCAGTGTGTTATAATGATGTGATCAGAGATGATGGCCTGAAGGTTTTTATGTTGTGATCTCCAAGTCTACAGGATTCCCTTTTCAAACAAAGTCACTGATTCATCCACACGTGCTTACTGTATGTGCTTCATGTATGATTATCACAAATATTCCCGCATTCAGTTTGTGTTAAAGGGGAGCTCCACCAGTTTTATACATCAAAGTCCGTTTACAGGTCTTGGGGAGTAAAAAGTTGTATAAAGTATTGTGGTTTCCAGATGAGCTGCGTAAAGTCTGTTTGCCTAAAGTGGTGTCACTTGACTGAAGACTACAAGTTTGAAAATGAAATAAATGTGGTCATGTGTAGGTCAGTTCCTCGAGGCTACATTAGCTCCTACTAGCATAACACACCTGACTCTCCAAATGAACTCCCTGTGGTCAAGTTGCTTGTGGGTAATGTAGGCGCCAGGTTTTGACAAGGAAGAAGAATGTTTGGAGAATGTTCTGAATAAAATATGGTTCTGCTACATCAATATTATTTTCAATTTAACAATGTTACAGTAATAACCTTTTATAATTTTAATGATTTCATTAACCTGTTCACCTTGTCAAAATAAGCAGTATTAAAAGGGTACTTTTAATTCAGCAGCCATATGCTAAAAGTTCAAAGTTTTTGCTTTCCTAAGTCCTTGATAAGGCAGTTATTGATAATAATGCATTACACATACAAATACTCAGCAGATGTTAATCAAAGATGTTCGATGTAGGGATAGTTAGAGTGCCCCTTTGTCGAAACTAATTGTTCACTGCTTTTGCCAGAGTGAAGACGGTAGGAGATTTGCTTTAGCATACAGATAACTAGGCAGAAGGGCTCTCATCTATAAATGGTGCGTACGTACAAAACAGGGCTGGAACCGTGACTTCGCCACTTCCCGAGCAAAGGTTGTGATCTATAAAAAATAAACTTGACGGGATAATGTGCGGTCCTCCACGCAAACTCTGAGCCATGCGTACGCACATAAACTGGAGAAGATGAGAAACTGCAACTCACATGGTAGAAGGTAAAATACATCAAAATATTATAGGCCAATAAAACTTAATATAATTTAATAATATTAGTTCATTTGCCAAACAGATGAAAGCCTTTCTGAATAAATAAACAGCAGATTGTTTTTCCCTGAGGAGCGCAATAAAAAATATAATTTAAGATCATTTGCAGCGCACACAAAAATAACCCTGATTTAGGATAATAAACACAAACGGACATAATGGGTATCGAGATATGTTTTTGCAAATGAACGCCTCAAATATGTTGTACAGTTTAATCTGGAATCATATCAATTAATACTTGCATGCAGTGCAATTTATTCTCATAAATAAGGTGAACAGTAGGACAAATTTCATTTAAATTCATGCCGTTTTCAATGCCTCAGTCGAAAAAAATACTTATATTGTTATCACATGTTTGTTGCCTTAGGGTATTTTAACCAACAGCTTTCCTCAGCGTTGCGTGTATGCACACATTTTAACCACCAAACAACATAATTTTTCTTGCTTCAACCTCACCATAAAGAATGTCTGTGTCACACTGGGCTAAATTTATTTATTTTTGTTTATTTCTGTCCTTATCTTCATGCACTTAGTATGTATTAATATTAATGAGGGGCATTTCACTGACCCTTTATAGGTAACTTTGGGCATTTAAAGGATCGAACAAGGATCTGGCTCACATGTGCTGATTGATTGTGATTTATAAAGAGAGACTGGCATAGGACATGCGTGTGCACTGTTTTATGTAGAAGAATATTAATCACTTTGTGTTTTTTCCGTACCCAACTGTCTTTCCTACGTACAGTTTTATAAATAAGACGCAAGCTCTGTAGACTTTAACCTCCGTGGCAATCAACCAGCTCGTCTGATGCATTCATGGGGTGGAGGGGGCCCTCTGTGTGACCTCCATTGGTGTCCACTATCCACCAGGCACCAGTGGCCACAGCAAGGTCAGGCTAGTCTCTGGAGCCAGACCTGATGAATGGACCCTGATGGATTTTCTCTGGCTGAAATGACAGGATTCTGTGCCCATTGATTGACTCTCTTTGAAGTTTAGTTTTCCATTTTTCTGTATTGCCTTTGAGGATGCAGCTAACCCAGAGAGCATAAATGGAGGGATGGGGAGTGAGTAAGTGTGGAAATATTTCTTTGGATGCAAATCACTGACAATTTGTCTGTGGACATTCAAATGGCACCCTGGATGTGAGGAGTAAATGAAGCACCGGAGTCAGAGCTTTACTCCTCAGCTTGCAGACTGAGGAGAAAAGTCTGGACTGTACAGTTCATAGATATTAATACCCCTCAAATCACTCACATACTGTATTTTGACTCGCTCAGTCATTCAGCAAAGTCAGTCAGTTGATCAATGAATCAGTTCATCAGTCAGTCCGTACTCTCTCACTCAAACACTCCCACCATCTTGCTTTCTTGGGCATACATACACACATTGGAATTGCTGGTAAACCACTCATAAAAAGACATGTGTAGCTCTCAGCCCTTCAGGCATTAAAACTGTGATATATTCACTGCAGCGGCTCCATATTGTCTCTGAGGGCAGGAGACAAAACTTAAAAGACTGAAGGACGTGAAGTCTGAAAGTCCTGGCAAAGACTCTTCCAAGCCAAACCCGTGGGTCCTTTCACTTGTATGTTGCTGATCTTTGTCTTTTTTAGTACATATTGTTCCATTACATCACATGACATACTGTAGTCACCAAAACCAAGCAGGATTCTGCAACAGCGGGTTGACTTTCCTAACAGCTTGAGCTGAATGTCGCACTCACCAACGCAGCTTCGCAATCAGTATGCTTTATAACTGAAACAATGTCCGTGCTCATAGTGTGAATCTGAATAGTAATTAATATCTCTCACATTTTGCCATCATGTAACAATTATACATGATTGTCAGGCAAGTATGTCATTAGTATTCAACTTTCCTCTGTATCTGTTCTCAAATCTCAGTTTGGCATTCAGCTAAAGCCTGTTTAGACCTGCGTAAACAGATTAATTGTAACCTCAGGATGTGTCAATGTTTAAATGGCAGGCCCATTCTGGTGCAGTATCACTCTGCTGAACGTTTCCTCTGTCCATATAAAATCTATATTTTGTGCACTTTTAATTCAAACTATGTAACCTTATGTGTCCTCCCCATTGATTTTCCTCAAGGGAAATCAATGCAGATGGTTAACTGACTGTGTTTATCTTCTACTGCAAAATGAGAAACACTTTATATATATATATATATATATATATGGGCAGAATCTGTCATCTTGAAAACTTTTAACATTTTCTTTTTAGAAATAGGTCAGTGTTTGTTGATATCTGATGTTGGACTGATGGAGAGAGCTGTACAGAAAAGATACTTGCTTTCACAGAACAGCAACTCCCCTTTCATCCCCTAATGCTTCCCTCGTCTTTTTATCTCTCCTTTCCTCCTCTATCTATCTGTTTTGCTCTCATGTCACACTAGTATTTAACTATGCAAAGATGATTTCAGGAGGTGCTGAGGTTGGCTAAGTCCTCCATCAGGTTGTGGCAACTACACATGAAGGGAACTGGGCTGCTTGTCTGCCCCACATGTCTCCCCCGGTGGAAGTGATAACACTTAGAGCTTTCACTTTGTTGCTTTCTTACCAAGGACATGGTGCAGTGTAAAGTGCCAGATGCATCCCCATGTCCCCACAGTGCAGTCATTTATTAACTTTTCTCATTCATTTATGATGGTTACATGTTATTAAGCATTGATTGTACACATGTCTCAGCAGGAAATGGGTTAAAAATATGTCTAAGTACTTGTACAGAAATAGAAGCATATGGAAAACAGCTCATAATCAGCACTTTCAATCTATAAAAGCTCTGCAGGTATAATTAACCTACTTCTCAACATGTGCTGTAAAATGCATGGAAACAAAGTGTACAAATTTATGGAAATGTCTAGGTTGCTATATGGAGCAGGGGACAAGTGTTTCTGAGAGGGAGGCGTGAGAAATACAAGATGAAACTAAAGAGGAGGAGAACAGTCTCATATTGTGGTACAACAAAACAGAGAACTTTGCCGTTTTTTTGCGTGTCCACATGCAAGTGTGTGTCTTTGCATTAAAAAGAGAAGATAGTTCTGCAGAGTACTCAAGGAGGGGAAAAACACTGTTCCTCCTACTTCCTACTGAACAGCTGTGTGTGTCTATGAAAGGGTGGAGGGCCCTGAAAAAGGGGAAGGAAGAGAAATTATATTCTCACAGTACAGTATGTGCTTTTACTTCACACATTGATGTATGGACTCTGATGGACAGCTCTCAAGTTTTTTCTCCTAGTTTATTGCCTGAGTGACAGTAAGTGCGAAGTGTCATTGTCAATCTCGCCTTTCTCCTTGTGGCTGACAGTGACATCAACACCCTCGCACTTGTCAGTTTGCCTGCATCTGTACTTGTGGAATGATGACTGAGCTCAGGATGGCTAACAATTCCTTATTGGATGGACTGCTCAACAGTCCCCACAGTAAGCCTTTTCTCAAGAGACGATGCCTCAGTGATGTGAGTATTTTTCATTTGCTGGAAGTGAAAGATTCATTTCGCTCTAGTTATTGTTGCTTGTCTAATTGTTAAGGTAGCTTGGAGACAGACAATATATGTTTAGTGGTACAGGACAGTAGATATTGGATTGTACATATAGAAACATGCTCCACTGCCCTGTGGTCTGTTTTAAGCCTCATACAGACAGAATCAACTATGTTTGTTTTGGGGAGAAATTGCCACCAGTATGTACTTTATCTTTTCTTTTTTAACACAATGATAATATGCAAAATTAAATCACCAAATTCTGTAATGATGTTATTTTTATTAGGACATATATCCACATAGCTATGGTTCACATTCTGCGCACTGAATCAGCATCTCCACAATCCAGGCGTGCATTGCTTCCCTTCTTTCTCAGGAGAGAGTCAGTCTGTGTGGTTCAGTGATCATCTGGTCAGCATAAGACAATGTTTGTTGATGTTTTTTTTGCAGTCAGGAGAACAGTATCTCCCTGAATATCATATGGCACTGTTTATTTTCACACGCAACAATAGACTGAGGCTGCACCTTTGGCTTTACCAGGTCAGGGTCAGGTGTGTTTGGCTTTTATGGGTGGTGTTGTGTGTTCATTGAAGTTTACTAGTATGTTTTAGTACGTGCATGTGAAAAAATGTTTAAATGCATTCCTGTGGTTTTGTCTGTGTACGTGTGAGTGTGTGTGTGTGTGTGTGTGTGTGTGTGTGCGCGCGCTCTGCAAGCCCTGCAGCACCCCTCAGTAAATTTAAGCTGTCATGTGGAAACATCAGCTTGGCACTTCAGTCCACTTGTGTTACATGGTGAACAGAGGGCTCACCCCACAACAAGCACTGCCGTCAAGGCTGCTGCAATCCTCTTTATCTCAGGTTGAAGCTGCTTAGAATCCATAACGTGGCCTCTGCAGATGAGCAAAGCATGCCTGAGGGTGTTTTCTTCTTATTTAACCTCAACCAGTACCTCTGCTAATTGGACAAAACACTGAATTGTGTTCTGTGGCAGTGCTTGGTCAAGGTGTAATTATAAATCCAGTAGCTTGATTGAAGCCTCCCTGTGTAATGAGCGCCACTGGTATCAGTAGGCTACACCACCTGGACACATGTTGATTACAAAACAAGAGCATACCACTGTTGAAATGAAACTCCGTTGCCAGACATACATGTCAATTAATTTTTATTTCCTGCCTTGCACGCTCCCTATTAGATAAATCTGCCTTTTATCCAGTAGTTTAAGTGTGTCTCATTCACACATTAATGTGACTATGTGCTTCAAGCAACAAAAATCATAGTGTCTTCCAGCTAATTTGGCCATTGCTCATAGTCACATGAGCTGGTGGAGAAGCTTTGAGGTTTATTTTCCCCTAAGGGTTACTTGTTTACAGTGTGTTTGCCTTTAAGCGTGGAGGAATGATTCTCCTGGAGTTGAATGGAGCCTTAGTGAGATTGGTGTCAAGTGGGTGGGGATGCATTAGGGAGCACAGTTATAGTGAAAAAAGGAATGAGGGGGTTTCAGAGATTCCAACAGGAGGTCTCGTGTCTTGAGACTGCACAGCCCAGCTTTCGCTGTTAGCAGAGATGAAGGATGAGTGAAGACAGCAGGGAAACCATATCAGCCATATCAACCAACTCATGTCCCTTTGTGGATCTGTATCAACTCTCTTCCCCAGACCTCGGACCTGTTTGCCATGATCGAGAGGATGCAGGTACTGTAAATGGTCCCCAGGCTCTGCCTTTTCTACTCGCTGCCTAAACTTGTCTGTTCTTCCTCCCAGTTTTTAATAAAAGGGCATCCTCAGAATTTCGCTTTGGACATAAAACTTCCATTTACTTCTATTTCGAGACTCACGTTTCTTCTGCTTTTTGTGCGATTTTTGCATTACACATCCCAACCCTGCTACTACATCACTTTTAAATGTGTGTGTCCATGTATCCCTCTGTTTGCCATTAATGTGTTTTTCAGTATTTGCAGCAGGGACAACCCTAGCCTGTCTTTAGAAACCTGATGCTTCTGAATGTGCTGAACAGAGCCTTTGTGTTTTCTCTTGACAGCTGTGTTGTTGTTTTTTTAATGCGTCATCAGATTGGTGAAATGTTGTGTTTTTCAATATGCAGAGGTGGATTTGTAGGAATGTAATTTGTTTTGTAGTCGGTGATGTTAACTCCAGAATTACACATACCAGAAGCAAGAACCGTAGATTCTGAATGAGCCAGTGGAAAGAATGATCACAGTTTAAACAGATACTTTGATCTGAGAGTGTCTTTGGTACTACAAGCATCCATACATTTCACTTTAATCTGACTCACAAAAGTATTTTTTTTCCTTACACACATCCTCTCCCAAGTAGTCAAAGACTATTTGAAATTGACCAGTAGTTTTGGCATTGTTGTGTCAGGGTCAACTTATCATGATCCATTTTAATCTGAATAGTCTACTAGAATATTGCTGAAAGAGAAATTATTTAGGTTTAGAAAATGTAGAGGCTTACAACAACATCTTTCTGAAGTTCTGCTGTTGGAACCAGATGGAATCACATGGGTAAAAGGCGTGATGTCTAGGTGTGAAGATACATATTAGTAATGCATTCATTTGAATTGTAAAGTCTAGTGTTTCTAAAATGCTTCTGAGCTACTTCAAACCTTATTTTTTTTTTTTTTTTTACTACTGGTTGTTAAGCACATGAGCAGCACTCCTGAGTTGCAGACAACGTGCATATTCTCCAACAAGTAAACAATGGTGGAAGGAAAGAGAAACAGAAGCAGGGGAATAGTCTTCAAAGATTGAATTTAATGAAAGCATTTCCTATTTCTGTTTGATTCATCTTCCTTAGACCTTAAACATTTTTTCAAATTGTACTGCAGGGTATTCCACACAAAGGGACCCTCATCAGGAATGCTTTGTTTCTCATCTGTCTCTGTGCTTTGGGAACTGTCTGTAGGTACATGTCAGCAGAATAAGAATAGAAAGAGATGACGGAAAGCCCTATTTTTGCACTTTTTGGTCCTTATGTGGAATTGTTATTAATGGTATCTGCAGTATGGCTTGATAGAAACACCTTCCCTGTTATCATGGACCTCTGCTTATCTTTTTCTCTCCGTGTAGTCCAAAAAAGATATCACTCCTTACTTCCTCTTTCTGTGGCCCATCTGGTGATTGAGCTTGTGTTATGTAAACATGCATTATTGTCACTATGATGCTGCAAAAGAAATTTAATGGAACTTGATAGCCTATTACTCTCTCTCTCGCTCTCTCTTTCTCTCTCTCTCTCGACAGGGTTGCAGAATGGATGAGCAACGATGCCCCCTCCCCCCCCCCCTCAAAGTGAGTCGCAAATCCTCACATCTTCTCATAGACCACAGTGTGGTGAAGCATCCATAATGGCAGAGTTATAAACCTTTCCTTATCAGCTGTCAGACAGGCTTTAGGATGCTCACCGACTTCAGTTAGGAACTCAACAGGGACTAGGACTGCAAAATCCTAAGCTGCCCTATTACCTAGACGGGCTAATGCAGTTGGCATTGAAGTCTGGGAGATACGCTCACCAGGAGGTCTGAGGTCAAGCCACAAAGGGCACACAATAGATGGAATCATCCGAAAGTAGAATATAAAACCATGTATTCCTGTGGACTCACAACAGTAAGGTAACCTGATGACTGTTAGGCTTCCCTCTAATTTGCACATTCTTTTAGACATGTAAAAGAAAATATGCAAAACTTTCCAGTGTTGTGTTGAAAGACAAAGTTCTACAGTCTTATTGCCATTAATAATTATAAGTTAAGGTCACACATAAAAAATTACACACTATATAACCAAAACTATATGGACGCCCAACAGTTTACCCATGTGTGATTGTTGAACATCTCATGCCAAAACCATGGGCACTATTATGCTGCTGTAACAGCCACCACTCTTCTGGGCAGTCTTCCCACACAAAGTTTGAAACTAACCTAAGGGATTTCAGTTCACCACCTTGGATAATTGAAAAGCAGACACTAGCTGTGGCTGAGGAGGAAGGACCCCACCTGGGCCAATGTTTGACCCTCAAAAGAAGCCAGTATCGGGTCTGGGACACACATCCAGGTCTGATCAACCTGTGGTGGGCTTGCCCCAGAAGAGGGTGTATTATATGTGAGTAAAAGGCTGAAACACCCAATGACGTCGGGGTACACAACTGAAGAAGTGTCAAGTGTCAACAACTTCTGAATGGATTGCTATGAAACTTTGTACAGAATGTCTTGGTCCCCAAACAATGTAACCTACTGACTTTGGTGGTTCCCTGACTGTATCTAAGGGACTGTGCATATGTATCTGAGCCCAGATTACTTTGGTGATCCTTTAAATTTTTCTCTAGTACCACCTCTATGGTATTACAATTGGCAATATTGCAATGGAAGAAGGAGCCGGTTACTCTGCAAAGGCTCAACCCAATATGAGCGCCATGGCAGCCAGGACATGTGCTCATACATGTTTTGTACTATTCGCTGTTGTTGGCAAAGGAGGGATCGGCAGTTCTTTCATATCTGGTGGTTGTTTCTCAGCCACTGTGTTTGCAAAACTTCTGAAGTCACGATCTGTTGAGCTTGACTGAGTGAGAGCATGCCCGAGGAGGAACACTGCAGCGATTGACACTGTTACAGACTCCTCTTGGCTCTGATTGGTTGTTTTGAACCGGGTGCGGTGAATTCTAGCAAATGTCATTAGTAGTAGTAGGAGCCTGATCTTTTTCATAGATTATCCGTCTGGTGTACAACTGGATATAGTGACTGGCAAATGTAGGCCAAGATTGTGTAATTGGCTCTGTTTCCTTAGCATTGTAAATGACATAATATATTATGTTTACAAAGGCATAGTCAGGTGAAGATCAAGGGTCCCCTCCACTTTGTTCTGTTAGATAAGCAATCTGCTCAGATGTTACCGAAAAGGCTTTTCAATTTTTTTGAAATACAATAGAAACATAAAGTTGTACTGATAGCCAGAATTTCAGCTTGTGGTAAAGCGACGCAACGTTTGCAATGAGCATTTACCATGTGTGCTTAAGTTACACTTTATTTATGCAAATTCTGAAAGTAAGCCTTATTGGTCACTTGATAGGCACACTGTCTTGTTATTGTAACACTGTTAGCAGTGTTTTCATGTTGGGCATTTTTGCCTTTATTTTTGAGAGAGAGGGGGCAATTCGCAGCAGAGGGCAGCAGGCTGATCTCGGACCCGGGCAGCTGCAATAAGGACTCAGTCTTGTACGTGGGGCGTTGTTGTACCAAGGGAGCTAACCACTCTCCAATACTGAGAGGTTTTAGCATCCAGTTTTTGAGTGAAGTGATAAAATATCTTAACGTGCAATATGTACAATAACTTCCTCAAGTTCCAATATTGATATAATAACAACACAATCAGTGAGTACAGATTGAAGCCAAAAGGATTATGTATTCACTAAAAAGGAATATAAGACATTTGTCACAAATGCTGTTAATGTAGCCACTGTCATGTTTACAGGATAAGTAAAGTAACCCCGAAAAATGTAGTGTTGGATGATGCTGTAGTTAATATTCTGTCTCAGTGTTGATGCTCATTGTTATTTTTCTCAAAGAACAAAAACTGAAAGCATGACTAGAAGCGGATGTTTGTCTGCTTGATTCATATTTGTTTCCCTTCTTGCAGACAGAAGAGGACTACATTCCTTATCCCAGCGTTCATGAGGTACATAGAATGTACTCTCCACACAAATACAGCACAAAATATATATTTTATAGATGTTAGAAAATGTAAAGTTAAGGTTTAAACAGGTAAAATATAGCACAAATTTCCTGTAACTATGAAAACAATGCAGTGTTTAATGCAACACACTGACTATTAGTTGCTAATCAGTATCCTTCTAACAATATCATTGTCCATCGCTGGCAGGTTCTGGGTCGCACTAGCCCTTTTCCACTCATCCTGCTGCCCCAGTTTGGAGGCTACTGGATCGAGGGGACCAATCATGAGCCTAAAGACGCACCAGAAGCAGATAAACCCCCCTGTCCTACCTCCCACATCAAACTGGAGACAAACAGCACTGCTAAGATATACAGAAAGCATTTCATGGGCAAGGTGAGGTTGGTAAAAAGGAGCCAGGTTTTATGCATTACAAAACAGCACAATTTATCAATTGTGATTTATTCTGTAGCATCTTAAAATATAGAATTAAGATTCTGAAATATCTGCCTCTGAAAAATGTATCAAGCATAAAAAAAATTGGTATTGGTTCATCAAATTGCTAGATCTAGGCTTATTTGTGGGGATAAATGCAACAAAAACTGTTCTGAGTTTGGGTGTGGATTAATTTGTGACTCGTGTGTGTGTGTGTGTGTGTGTGTGTGTGTGTGTGTGTGTGTGTGTGTGTGTGTGTGTGTGTGTGTGTGTGTGTGTGTGTTATCTGTCATTCAGTCAGCTTTACAACTACCAGAACAATGTTTCAGGCACACAGAGCATCATGTGGCCTTGCAAAGACATGAGGACAAAAAAACTGTCTGCACTGTTTGCTTGTGACATTAAAATCAAAGGTTGCGTTCCCCTTGAAAACCTATACTTTAGTCTCCCAAAGTGATGAAGTGAAACTCACTGTTGCCATATTATGCAATTCAAAACTGTAAAACAAATGGGCTTCTTGTAAATATGTTATATCTGTTGTAACCAGTTGTCTGTTCAAAATAAGATTTGTAAAAGTTGATACATGGTACCTTGTTTCACACCTTTTCCTAAAGGGACTTATTCCTTCAACTCCTCTCCCTTTCAAATTTTTGTTATTGTGTCACCCACTGTCAGTTGCTGGAGGAGTTTTCCTCCTTGCATTAATGTTTCTTGTGCTTATCTGCCCCCAGGAACACTTTAATTATTACACCATGGATGCTGCCCTGGGCCACTTGGTATTTTCCATGAAATATGATGTCATTGGGGATCAGGAGCATCTGCGCTTGATGCTTCGGTACAATTTCCTGTTATCTTTATCTCTGACCTGTTTTCTTACCCATTTGTGCTTTTTTATTTTCTTGTTATCTTCTTAATCACTGCCCTCTCCTTTTCAGTATCCCATTTCCAATTGTTCTTTGTTTCCCATTTTGTGTTTCTCTCTCCATTGCCCTTTTTTCACAATGAACCTGCAACAACCCTGGCTTCAAATATCCATGAAATGCAGTGATTTTTAGCATTTATTCATAGGCCTCCCAAACAGAACCATTGCATATAGAGTATTTTCACACATGACATGACTGTTCCGGATAGATTGCATTTTTTTTCTCTCAAGTATTGTGTTAAGTCGAGCAAGAATGACACAGAGGAAGAAGACCATCTCAATTCTCACAGGTTGCCCTTAGTGATGATTTTTAAAATGTATTTTCCAGCTCAATTGCTAACAATTGGCAGTGCTGTGGGAAGGCTTGCCCTAGCTGTCAGAGGGCACTTCAATTAAATATGACTTCAGACATCTGCTGCCCATTTTACACAATTACAACCTCCAAGCCACTATTGTTAAAGGATTGCAACTTTTATGAATGTACATACTTTAGATGCAGATTTAATATCAGGAAGGGATTCCTAGCACCTGGTTTGGTGAACATCTACTTCATCAAGACTTTAATGATATTTTTTTAAGTCACAGTGAGGTGAACATATAACCTTCTCACCTTAACTAATGCTGCGTCTCATAACATGCTGCTATCTAACAATAAATAACCCAGAAATAATATTAAAATAATAATACAAAATCAAATTATTAATACAACTTATTATATAATTTAATTCATCATTTGAAATAATGATACCATTGCAGATTTGGAAAAGGTTCTGCTTTTATGTCCTTAGAGCCACATTAAATCACATGCCAGACAGAGATTGTGTCAGTCATTTATGTTCTGGGAGTGGTGGAATAAAGTGGGTATAAATAAAAGTGTTAAAATGTTTGTGTGGTACAAAATAAACACTCAAGCTTCTCTGTATAGATATTGACTTAGAAAACTGTGCCACAAGGTACTCAACAATCAGTACACTATTTATCTGTGCAAGAGTTGCGCAAGTATTAGTCCTCCCACCATCAAACAAACTCACTGAAATCCTCTATTTCACATTCTGCTAAAGACAGACAAGGGGCAGAGAGGCAACTCAGGGCATCATATAACCTGTGAATTAATTTTAGCACCCGAGAGACTTCACTCCAGATTTGAATAGCTACATTCCCTCTTTGTTAGTGGAGCTTTAGAGTTGATGAGTATTCCGAGAGGTAACAGTCACTCAGCCCACAACATTCTCACACAGTGATGTTTTCCACTGGATGGGCACCACCCACATTCAGCCCATCATCCTGGTCAAACTCAGTCATCTCAGCTAGTGTAGTTACAGGCTCTGACTCCCAGTCCATATTTAAAGCATATGTTAAAGAGCTACACAAGTCATGAGCTGTGTCTCAATTCAGATACTTTCATTAGAACACTAACAACATATAGTACACTACGTACGTAGTGTGTGAATTTTGACAGGGTAGTGTTGTTTCAAAACAAACACGGCTTTTCTTCTTTTACTTTTTAATGGCAAATTGTACAGCAACATTTGACCAAAATTATCACTCACCAAAATATCTGCTGACTTGTTTGCTCACTTGACTTCAAGTCAGTTGCACTAAAAATTTACTTTTACAATTGCAATCGCTGCAGCTTTTTATGACGGCATTTTCACAAGTTTGAAAATAGGTTGGTGGCCCCTCCCCTTCTGCTACGTTGCCAAGATAGCAACTGTCCAAGTGTCCAGCATTCCACACTCAACTTTTTGACCGTTATGAGCGTACCATCTGGGTATTCTTTTGCACTGCATTTTGCCATACATAAGTGTAAGTATGGAAGCGGCGCAAATAAAGATTTATTTATCATTTTACAGCACAGAGTTGCAAATCTAGATATAGTTGTAGTTCCCTTAATGCTACTCACAAAAAGCAACTGTTATATAATTACACAAATTAAATACACTACATGGCTAGATAAATAACAATTCATAGAAATAAAGCTATATTACATAATGGAGTGCTGAGGATTAATTGAGGAGTCTCACAGCATGAGGGAAGAAACTTCTGTGAAGTCTGGTGGTGCGATAGGCTGGGGTGGGTTCTGTCTTTTAGCCCCATTCCTCTTAGATACTGTATACCTGTCAAGGTTTCTGCTCTCACACAGCACACATGCAGTTTACTATGATAATGGCGGCAGAGTAACCAACTAAACTTTGAGGTATTGTTTTATTAAAAAAAATGATTCCTTGGTTTTTAAACAGAGGGAGACAAAAGCAAAAAAGCAAGCTTCTCTTTTGTAGCCAGTGATCGTTGATTTTGCAAGCTAGGTAATTAAGCTAACTCCTTTAATTGGTTGAACATGCTGAACTACTTTTTAATGTTTCCAGTTGACTCAAAAACTTGTAAAAGGGTTTTGAATGTGCAATTTATGGCTGCATAGATGATATAGCTAAAAGTTAAAATAACTAGGCTAACTAATGGTGTGGTAATGACACTTTGACCTTGGAAGTAGCACTATGTTTGTTAGTTATACAGACATCCTTAGGTTTGCAGATAAGCACACATTTTTTTTCCCTTATGCTTTTGATTTTGGAAAGGCTAAAAAAAAGACACCACCCTCCAAACTCTTAAAACACAGAGTATTTCTCCAACTACAGCTCCGACAGACAGATGTGGTTTGGAGTGATCTTGCATAGGGCAATAAACTCCCGCATATCTAACCATTCATGGTGAGGAGTGTAGACTGTGTCCAGAGATTATTCACATCTAATGCTGAAGTGAGTAAGGATAATTTTTGGAAATAATTAAAGTTTCCCAGTAATGTTGCTATTTTCTCACCAACTTAGATCAGATCACTTTATAGCACTCAATGGGTTTCCAGTTGTTGTGAAAGCATTGATGCCCATTAAACCCTCTGATGGGCAATCCTTGCTCAAACACATCAAGTACAAAGACTATCATGCTCCCACCGCCACACAGAATCTAAAAGTCCCCTTTGAGCTGGCAATTCACTTGCATAAAAGCAATTCACTTGCATAAAAGACAGAAACAATTAAAGCAGGAGAATTGTTTTGGATTAGAAATCAAACAGTGAGCATTTTGACTTTTCTAACTGTTTGCCTTTCAGCACAAAGCTAAAAACCTACCATGATGTGATTCCGATTTCCTGTCTTACCGAGTTCCCCAATGTGGTTCAGATGTCCAAGGTATTGCACAGAATACATACTGTAGTCGTAAAAGTTTGATTTAGTATATGTTTAAAATGAGAAACGCTGAATGTACTTTTTCCCCTTACAGCTTGTTTGTGAAGAAGTAAATGTGGATAGGTTTTATCCTGTCCTCTACCCAAAGGTAGGCACCAGTCCTCCATTTGTGTTTTTCCAAATACCACTTTCTCTCTTGCTACCTGCTATCCACACAACACCCCATCTCCATGAACCTGACTGGAAACTTACCCATTCTCTCTTCCTCAGGCATCAAGGCTCATTGTCACCTTTGATGAGCATGTGATCAGCAACAACTTCAAGTTTGGAGTTATTTATCAAAAGTTTGGCCAGGTGAGTGCGCTTCAGAGATACTGCCGCTAATCTTTGCTTTTGATGCTTGTCATGAGTCAATCAACTGAAAATGTCCTTTCGTTCCTTTACGCAGACATCAGAGGAGGAGCTGTTTGGGAACATGGAAGAAAGTCCTGCCTTTGTTGAGTTATTGGAGTTTCTGGGCCACAAGATTGAGCTTCATGACTTTAAAGGGTTCAGACACTTTTCAGTTCCATTTGCTCAGCAGCAGATTTAAGGGCTTTTGGTTAATTCTCAGTATAGAGCTCCACCTCATGTCTGTCAGAAGCAGACCATCATTCACTTTGCTATTGATCAAAGTGGCTTTAAATGAATCCCTGAAAAAGCGATTTAGAGTGTCCTGATATTTGTAGTGTTGCTGACATTGTGATTGAGTATGCAGAAGAAGTGCCCTTGGCATTCCCTCAATGATGGATGAGCGTGGATGGACTCTTATTTTCAACTCTTAACACTGCTTTTTTTGTGTCTCTTCTGTGTTCCTTATGGCTGTTCACCTTAATCCTGTCTTTGCCTTTACTTGTCTTTTTTTTCTCGCTCCTCTTACTTCTGTCCTTAAATCTCTTCTTCTCCTTTTCTTCTTTAGGTTTCGGGGTGGGCTGGATGTCACTCATGGGCAGACGGGGACAGAATCCATCTACACAAGTTTCCATAATAAGGAGATTATGTTCCATGTGTCCACCAAGCTGCCCTACACAGAGGGAGACTCACAGCAGGTATAGTGACATTACAGTGATTAATTAATTAACTAATTTGTGTTTTCAGGGCAGTCAGGCAGTTTTCAATATCCTTCACTAATTGATTTGTAAAGGCCTCTCCTTGTGACTCCTCCATGTATCGAACTGTAGCAACAGCAGCAGCTAATAGGTCACAGGTGTAAAATCCAAATATCAGTCTTTTAAGTTAATGTCGATGATGCAAGATGAGTCATTTGAATCTGAATGTACAGAAGACTAAAATCAGTGGTTAAATTAACAGTTGACATTTCGAAAAATACACTTATTACCTTTCTTGTTGTGCTAGCTGAGAAAAGAACACCTCTCTCATGTCTGTATGGTAAATGTCTGTATGGTGATTGCCATCTTACAACAAAACAATGAAACAGCTAGCCTGCCTCTATCGAAAGGAAACAAAATCTGTCTACCAGCACCTCTTAAATCACCAATTATTCTGTAGCCTTCTAAAAAGAGTAAAAGTGACAAATTGCATTTTTACAAATGGTTATGTACTGGACTATTTCTTGTCCAGCCCAGTACCACTAGTTGTCATTGTTAGAGGTAAGGGTAGGCAGATTTTGTTACTTATGGACAGAGCCAGGCTAGCAGTTTTCCCATTTCAAGTCTTTGTGCAACAACAAGCTACCTGGCTGCTGACGGTACCTTCATACTTACTGTACCGACATGAGAGTATGGATTTTACATCTTAACATTTTTTTAGGTTTGCAGGTTTGATGTCGTCACTTATCCTGCTGTCCTTTTTGAGGTGTACCATTTCCACTAGCATTGCAGTACTCTCTACTTGCACTGAAGTTTCTCTGCTGTTGGTTTGTGGCTGAAGGCTTTCATTTCTTTGATGCCATGGTGCAGTAAACTGCATTAGTCCTCAGCTGCTCTTTACTGCCTCTAAGAGTGGTTTTGAACTTTGTTATCACAGTAACACTGCACAGACTGGAGGCATCAAGAGAAACAGAGGACATAAACAACACCCACATGGGATGATTCACGAGGGAGCTCTAATAATATGCAACTGTAATAATATAACCTTATTTCAGGAGGGAGAAAGCACAGAATGAAAGTAGCCAGATTTGACTGAATGTGGTATGATTTGAGTGGATATTCAGTATTAACAGGTTTCAGGTGTCTCAATCCAGCCCCATACTTGCTGGGTTCGTTTTTAAGCGTCTAACTGTCCTTGGTGTCGCTTGGGTTTGGCAGCCCATCTACACAGAGAAAGTGGGATGAATGTTATTCAGCTATCTGGGTTCAGAAAGCCCCTGTGTGAGTAAATATTAAAGCTGACAACAAATAAGCTCAGGGATGATGCAGTAGTAACCTGGCTACCCTGCCTCTGCAGCCACATTTATCCTATTTCACTCACAGCCTTCACAAGTATATCAATATATTTTCTGCTCATTCATGTCAATTAAGTTTAGATCTCAGTTTGATCCAAAACTGTGTTATTTTGCAGCAAAACTTGTGTTTAGAAGTGCTGCAGTCAGATTCCTAGCAATTACTAGGCTAGTTAGGCGCTTTTTTGATGAAGGATAAAGGTCTGACATTTGTACATATTTGATAAATGAAGTTTCGGGTGTTAGACGATTTCCCTTTGAACTATATAAAACAATTTTCCATTTACTTAATGTTTCTGGAATATTTGTGGCTGCTATGACTTCAGGAAATTCTGAAATCTTGCCAGGGTCTGAAACAGATGGTTGATTGTTCTGGTGTGAACAAACAGCCTTTAACAGACAGAGGCTGTAAAGTAATAGGACTGCTAACTGGAAAAGAATGATCTATAAATCCCAAAGTAAACATTTACTGTGCAGACAATTGGTCAACTCTTGAGGTGTTTTATTGCGGCACCAGCTAACACGCTACAGCTAATAGCAACAGGTGTGAAGTGGCTCTGTTAAAGGTTTGTTCTGTAGTGTGTTAAATAGCCTGATGAATGACAGAGGGTAATAAACAAATGTTGCTGCACAATGTTGAAGTTTCTGGGGAGAACACTTTAGCTGGGTCTACTTTTCCAACACCATCTGCATTGAGAATATTTTTGACTATTTCTGTTTATCACCAAGCTCTATTTGTATGAAAAATCTGATATATCTGCTTACACTTACATGCTATGGGATGATGTTTTGCTGAAAGAAAAACATTTCTGAGAAGTCAAGTCTCAAACTGGAAATTCGCCACAACGTTAATAAAATATTTTGTGATATCGTTCATTTGATGAATTTTTCACAAGAAGAGGGGGAAAAAGTAATATCTTCTCTGATGTTTATGTGAGTTCGGGAGCTTCCTAAATTAGTGTTTCTAGCAACAGGCAATGAGGTGAGAACACAACACAGCCAAGCTTTTTAAAGATATTGCTTGGGCAAAAATTAATACTTGGGCATAGTCACTCTGTCCTCCAAGTGCACGAGTTTCATTTTGGCAACTTTAAGCATTTTGGCCACCAGGAAGAGGCAGCTATTCAGCAGTGATGATTTGGGTCAGCCATTTGCAGAAGAGAAAAACATTTTTGATTGACTTTGCAGTGCCTTCACTGGTATTCAGATTCATTAATTTCCACACCATCAACAACCTTTGAAAGCTTGGACCTAAATTATTCCGTCCTAGTCATAGCTACACTAAAAAAACATTTATAGGAGTGGATTAAAGTGGATTTATAGGGGGCCTAAATGTCAGGATATCCGTTCAAAGACCTTACCTTATGAGTTCTACAATTGTTTGTCAATTTTTTGTACTGTATTATTCCGATATAGATATAGAATCAGTGTATGAAATCCTTAGCACAAGCTTCAAGAGAGATACAGGACATATCTTCTGGCTGATAGTTGTGTAAAACTGGAGTGCCATACATCTCAGAGAAGAGGTTGAACTCTTCGGTCAGAGTAATGTCCACCTCTTTTTGGGGACTACATTCTATTCCCAGTCAGTCTTTCACTGCCAGTCCTGGAAGTGATTCTGTAACAGGCCTGTGTTTTTATTTCTCTAACTGGTTATTTGAGATGTTTACGGCTGTTGTTAGTTTTGTTTATCTGTGCCATCCAGCTGCAGAGGAAGAGGCACATAGGGAACGACATTGTTGCCATCGTGTTCCAGGAGGAGAACACTCCCTTTGTACCAGACATGATCCAGTCCAACTTCCTGCATGCGTATGTGGTGGTGCAGGTGGAGAATGCATGTACGGACAATGTCACTTACAAGGTTGGTTTCAAGCACAGCCAACACTCTCATTCATTATTCAGGAGCTTTTATTCTACTGTGTGGCTTTAAAAAGTGACATTTGTATCATGTATCACAGTGAATCATAACACGTGCTCACCTGCTTTCTCTGCCAGGTGTCTGTGACAGCGCGGGATGATGTACCTTTCTTTGGGCCTGCTCTGCCTGACCCTGCCATCTTCAAAAAGGCCAGCAGTCACACAAATTCATAAACTCAACTCCTGTTTATGAGCATCATAAACCTTCATTCTCACCTCCTTTATATTTGCTTTCCCCAGGGCCCTGAGTTCCGTGAGTTCCTCTTCACCAAGCTCATCAATGCAGAGTATGCCTGCTACAAGGCTGAGAAGTTTGCCAAGCTTGAGGTGAGAAGAGTGTTGCAAGGCAAACTGCGCCATAGAAGTGTGAATGCCTGTTCTGTTTATGTGTGAGCGTGCGCACACTTGAGCACACACCAGTTTGCAAAGGTGTGCATCCAGCTGGCTGTATTCTTGATGGGAATTGATTTGAGTGACAACATAGAGTTATCATTCAACCCTTCTTGAGCCACAATGCAAATGAGCTCTAGTGCTGATGTCTAACATCAGTGTCACCCATATACCTTCATTTATAATGATGAACTAACTTTGACTTTAGATTTCCGTGTGAGTACCTGGACAGACTGACTGTTGCTGGTGTTGTTGTTGCCAGGAGCGTACACGTTCAGCCCTCTTGGAGACTCTGTATGAGGAGCTGCACATAAACAGCCAGTCCATGATGGGTCTGGGTGGAGACGACGATAAGCTGGAGAACGGGGGCGGGGGTGGAGGAGGAGGCTTCTTTGAATCCTTTAAGGTACAGACCCATCCCTCATTTGACCAAGCGTGCCGTTAATCTGCAACTGCACATGCATGAGAGAGAATGGTTATGACTTTTAGGATGCTTTTTTTCTCTCCCCTGTCTCTTGGCTGGGATTCTGGGTATTCACACATGAGAAAACAAAGCATAGAAAATTTGCAGTATCTCAAAGGACCAGTCCTGTGGCATTTGATTTCCTCAGTTGGCTGCGACTGCTGAACTCGGTGTGTTTTCACATGATGGTGTGGTTTTTGACGTCGGGGAGTGTCCTGTTGTGCATGAAAGGCACTTTGCTCTGACTGAGAGTGCTCCATCAATGACCATTAGGATGGTGGAGTGTAGCCCAGCCACTGAGGCACGGAGGTAGGAGCTGTGATTGTGCGTGCCTGATGAACGATTTAATGGCCCCTCATTAGGGAGCTGATGATGCAGTTTACGTGTCTCCACAATGGCATTGTTTCCTCACTGTTTTTCCCTCGCCCACTAGTTTATGGCCATCTTTTCTGTATTTCTGTGCAACTTCAGAGAAATATATCCACCTTTCTCTCAGTCTCTTTTGATCCATCCCTTCTCCATACTTTCATACACTACCTCTGTATAAATAAATCTCTCTCTCTTTTTCTTTCTACCTGTCAAGATCAATTTTGCTGCCTCCACAAATTACATCTGCAAGATTTCTCACTCTCTGCCTCTGCCTGTCCAGCGGTGTAGATTCTGCTGTCCTGTTGTGTCTCCTACTTTTTTTCACTGCCTTCCTTGCTCACTCTGTGTGTCCCCCCCCTACCCCCTATGACACAAAACTCCACTACAGATTCCCCCTTGTTAAATGACTACTTAGGAGATAAGAGATGCTTTTTCATCCTCCTCCACCAGAAAGCCTACACTCTCCTCAACCTTTTGTGAACCTACGTATCTCTCATGCAGCCTCTCCCTCCTGCCTGTTGACCTGCACTGCCCCTAAGTGTTCAAAAATAGTCCTGCATACAAACAAACATAAACCACAATGAGTTCATATGCAAGCACACAAATACCGACACACACGTGTTCCCTCAGAAATTCATCCAATTTAAAATATTAACACATACTTGTGCTTTACAATAGTTTCAGCATGTACTAATATTATATTATATTGTTTTTTATTATTAGAAATTATTTATGATATATACATAAATATATTATTAGTGGTATGTCTTTTTCACAGCAGACCTTTTGACTTTGAGTTTGTTATAGTAGGAAAAGCATAGGTGTTACTAGTAACATTAACGTTTACTCCATTCAATTCAAATGTCCCAGTAAACCATGACAGTGCAACAGTGAGCCAGCATGCACAGTACCAGGACCCTGGAAACTGACGCAGCTAAATGGCATTCAGCCATCATTCATTTGTGAATATTGAATATAAATTAAACATATACTCTCCGTACACAGAACCAGTCTGAGAATTAGCAAAGTACTTACTAACATATACATATTGGTCAACTTTTGAAATTAATTTAGACTTAGAGACACAGAGTAACATGGTCTGTGGTATTTAATACCGTAAACAATTAGTCAGTGTGTTGCGTTTCCACATAATATCGAAGTGGATCCACTGACAGTATCTCCTTATTTCTTTCTGTAGCGGGTCATCCGCAGCAGAAGCCAGTCTATGGACGCCATGGGCCTCAGTAACAAGAAGTCACACACAGTCTCCACTAGTCACAGTGGCAGCTTTACCCATAATCCCGCAGAGAGCCCCAAAACCCCTGGGATTGTAAGTAGCCCATTTTGGTTCACATGATGCCCACCAAACACATACATTCAGGGTACAGTAAATTTTCACCATTCACAGCACAGTGGCTAAATATGCAAACAGACTGATCTAACCCCTATTATTTCTTTCAAGCAGCACTTTAGCTAATTACGCCTGTTGGCACATTGTAGCACTTTGTTTGGTATGTTAACATCAAAGTACTCGCTTTCATTCTTGACATTTTAAATTCACTCTTGCTTAGTACTAAAGCAGCTTTCATTGATTGCCTTTTTCCATTTTCGGCTCATAGTGTTCCTATTAATGACTAGTCTTTTGTTTTGTTTGGGAAATTAACATCGTAGCTCATAACTCACTGTCAGAATTTCATTCATCCGCATCTGTTGAAAGATTCTCCGATAGTGACCGTTAGATATCTAGGGTAACGTTGAAAGTGGCATGAATCCAGTGGTTTCCTTCTCTATGCAAGATGAGTCCGATTGCTTGTTAGCCCCAGTGTAGTCGCCATCCTCAGTCTTGTAGTGAGCTCAGTGTAGCAGTTGTATGACTACCCAGACTCCCTCCCTCTGTGCTTTTGTCATGACTTTTTTCTCCTGTAAATGTTACAACTCTCTGTGCAGCCCTGTATATGTGCATGTGTGGCTGAACAGTATGCACGGCATAAGCCATAAATGCACTGTCCTGTTTGTGTTTCTTTCAAAGATGGGGTTAATTATGTTTCAGTGACATCCATTGCAGTTTGGGATTTGGTTACTGATAGTATTTTGAATTGGAACTAAATGAATCCCATTTCTGAAAGTACAAAGTTTTCTAAATGCTACCCCTTTGAATTATGTCAGCCCTCTTTGCCCCTTTTCTCCTCCTGAATGCATTACTAAACCACCTGTATCCCTCAGGACAGAAAGTGCCGACGTGCCTGCTACCTTCCTGACACTCCATCTCCTGCTGTGCCCTCCTGTGTTAGGCCCCAGCCTGCTTTTGCTCTGAAATGCTTTCACTATTTCCTCAATATCATGTCTATTAAGTCATGCTGCGAGCTCCTTTTCAAGCTCTTTTGCACCTTGCTGTTTAAATTATTTGTGCTATGCGCATGAGATCTTATGATGTGTTCTATTCTTTTTTTCCCCCCTCTTGCTTTTTCAATCTATCATCTCCCTTCTCTCTGTGCTCCCTTTGCCCTGTCTTGTGTGGCTCAGTCATTGCTTGTTCCAGGGAAAAGTCCCAGTAAATATGGACGGCGAGGCAGTGCCATAGGGATAGGAACAATAGAAGAGGTTCATGTATATTTCTCCTTCTTGTTTACTATTTCTGTCTCTGCTCTTTACTTTGCTGTTGTTTTTTCACAATGTAAGTGTGTGGTTAGTACAATAGTAGTTAGTACTTTAAAATGTTCCCCTTTTAGTTCAGGTGAGGAACTAGCTTTTCAGATATATAGATGTAAGAATTTATACATAATTTGTTATTGCTTTAATTATACTTTCATTTATTCACACAGTAGCTAATGTATTACAGTAACAAGGTGATGATCCATTGTGCACTGAGGGATGTTACAGGTCATTTATCTTAGTATAAATATTTCCTGTAATGTAATAGTTTTTACAGATAGATGGTTTAATTTTGGATGATTGATTTTTCTTGATTCGTTTTGCATCCCATTGCAGCAGATCTCAGGGCTTCATGCATAACTTCAGTCACTTCTTTTTATTTGAAATGTGGTATTAAACTCTGTAAGAGGAAACTCAGAAAAGGAAATTGTAAACAGACTCCCACTTATGTTCTTATGCTCAGTCACTCATTGATGAATCATACTGTACCTTAAACAAGTGTGAACCAGACATTTTGAAATATGACAAAAAAACTCCACAGTCTGATCTCAGTACTTAAAATAATAACCAAATACAGCACCCAACAGGATGCTTCTAAGGTGGAAACTTTATTTCATCAGAGACAAGAGTCCAAATAAGAGAGTATAGAATGTAAAATCAATTCCTGAATAGTGTACCATTGATTTTGCAGCATATTTCTATTATTGTTCACTTCAGTAGTCCACTGTGTCATGTACCGGATATCAATATCATTTGATCATGTTGTGGTTGTGTATTGGTTATACTATCCCCATAGTTTGTGTCTGACTTTTTTCTCCCTACCCACTGTCAGTCACTGATCATTCCTGGGAAAAGCCCAACCAGGAAAAAGTCTGGGCCATTCAGTTCCCGTCGCAGCAGCGCCATTGGCATTGAGAACATCCAGGAGGTCCAAGAGAGGAGGTGAGAGGAGGGAGCAGAGCTGATCAGCAGGGAGTGGGTAGTGAAGAGAGAATAGTGTTACAACAGATGGAAGCATGGACAGAGGAAATCAGTCATTAGAAGATACACTGTTTGGAGGATTGGATGGCAGTTTTGATCAAGAGGGGGAGTTATCAATGCCTTACTTTGTTTATTTGCTTCGGAGTGCTTTGAATAACAAAATCAAGATTTTACAAAAATTCTAGGTTGTAACAACTCAACAGAAGATTCATAACAGCCTCAAGGACGATGCTTGAATACTAATTGAATTAGTAATATAACCAGCAGCCCATCTGTGTGGTATTTTGGTAGCAGGTGTACAGCGCACGGTGCACAGGTGGGAGGAGAGGAACAAACAGGTGGGAGGTTCATTCAAATGAGGCAGAGCAAAGCGAGTTGTTGCTATTTTGGCCAAAATTGTTTCTAATTAGACTTTTTGCTAAGAATTAAACAGTTTGCCGATGTTATAAACAAAAGCAAACTTAATACACAGATCAAATGTGCATCAATGACTGAATAATTCTTAAATTGTGAATAAATCATTTTAATTAAACACATCAGAAACTTTACATTTAATGTGGATGTTTAATGTGGATAAAGCAGGATGATTGCCTGTAAATCAGTCTGCATTTATCCAAAAATTAATATGAGCACAACACAGTTTATGTGACCTACCACTACGCACTTGTCATTTTGCAATTAAAATGGGGTTCTTCATTTGATTTAATATTTGAGATGTAGCAGTTGATCTGTTTTTCACATCAATGAGGAAAAAATGTCAACAATAGCTGAACAGCAGTTTGTGGCAGTTAAAGGGTCACTCCTTCAGATCTTATAACACATGTTCAGATGATATGAATGTGTTATAACATTCATCAAGAGTTTGTCTAATGTATTACCATATCAAATCAGTAAACTTACAGTATTTTAATGTGTCAATCCTTGCCTGTCTTGAAGTCGGGAGGTGTCACCCAGCACCCAGAGGACACCGGACACTAGCCACTTTTCAATGGAAAACAAATCAGACAACTCCTCCAATCACAGTTCTCCAGAATTTCCTACTACTAAGAACAGGTGACTATTATTTTAATTAATTATATAATTGTATAGTATATTATGTTCGCACACATTGAGAAGTTTGTGATATTTGATCCTGTGGGGTGGGTGGATAGGGAATGCATTTATATAGACTGGAACAGCAACGCTATTACATGGACAATTACCCTCACTGTCATAGTCATAAGCCTCTAACCATTTTAAAGAAACAAGCCACCGAATTCACTCGACCCTTTTAACAATATCCATTTTGGTTATTGCTGGTCCAATGACATAGGTTGTGAATTCTGCTGGAGGCACCTGCATGACATAATTAATGCAGCTGGACAAGAAACAGCAGAATACATTTTGACAGGGATGTTGTGATATCCAGATTATTAATATCTTTGCAGTCTAAGGCACAAATACACATTAAAATTTGAGGAAATTATATACATGCATGGACTAATAAGAGACGAGATATCTTGTGGAATTTTCACAATAGTATTGGCATGATATAGCTTGAATAGTGTTTTACCGGGCCAAAAAGGCTGCACGTTAAGTTTTGGTATGTATTACCATTTGTTAGATAGAGCTAATTTAGAGGGTTGCACCTACTCCAACACAGACTAAAAGATTACATTACTTGGCACTGCTGTCACTCTGCTTGAATATGCTACCTGAAGTGCTGTGAAATGATGATGAATTACTTAGAGGTTTGGATGGAAAAGTTATAAATAGAAAAAAAGTATTTTGATTGTGCTTCCTAAAAAATTTCAGTGTATGGAAAACCTAGGTGTTAGTACGGTCAGAGTGA